TGGATTTTTTAACCCCAAAAACGCAGGAATATGATATATTATACAATTTTGGTAATCTCCGATAACATTTTGTTTTAAATGCCATTTAAACTTTAAAAGTACGAAGGCAAATAAATGTTTATACAATATTGCAAAAAAAGCGGTTTTGAGGCCAGAGAACTCAAATCTTAAGTTATTTTTGTCGAAATATTTCCTATAGTAGTTTTAAGACACACTGTATATTATCAAAGTTAATGTCCTCATATATGCCAATCCATGTTTAAATACCTAGATAATATTTTGGATTTCGTGTTTAAAATCCCAAAATCATAGTACTAAGATTCATTGGACGACTCTTAAGCAAACTGTGTAGAAATTGTTTGTATTAAATGCCTTTTAAACAATAAAAAGTGCGAGTGCAAATGGATTTTTATAAAATATTGCTCTAAAGCGTTTTTCGAGGCCAATTAAACTCAAATCTGACATTTTTTTGGGTAATTTTCCCTATATTTGTTTTAAGACACACTGTGTATTATCAAAGTCAAAGTCCCCATATATGCCAATACATATTTTAATACTTACTTCAGAATTGGATTTTTTAACCCCAAAAACGCAGGAATATGATATATTATACCATTTTGGTAATCTACGATAACATTTTGTTTTAAATGCCATTTAAACTTTAAAAGTACGAAGGCAAATAAATGTTTATAAAATATTGCAAAAAAAGCGGTTTTGAGGCCAGAGAACTCAAATCTTAAGTTATTTCTGTCGAAATATTTCCTACAGTAGTTTTAAGACACACTGTATATTATCAAAGTTAATGTCCTCATATATGCCAATCCATGTTTAAATGCCTAGATAATATTTTAGATTTCGTGTTTAAAATCCCAAAATCATAGTACTAAGATTCATTGGACGACTCTAAAGCAAACTGTGTAGAAATTGTTTGTATTAAATGCCTTTTAAACAATAAAAAATGCGAGTGCAAATGGATTTTTATAAAATATTGCTCTAAAGCGTTTTCGAGGCCAATTAAACTCAAATCTGACATTTTTTTGCGTAATTTTCCCTATATTTGTTTTAAGACACACTGTGTATTATCAAAGTCAAAGTCCCCATATATGCCAATACATATTTTAATACTTACTTCAGAATTGGATTTTTTAACCCCAAAAACGCAGGAATATGATATATTATACAATTTTTGGTAATCTCCGATAACATTTTGTTTTAAATGCCATTTAAACTTTAAAAGTACGAAGGCAAATAAATGTTTATACAGTATTGCAAAAAAAGCGGTTTTGAGGCCAGAGAACTCAAATCTTAAGTTATTTTTGTCGAAATATTTCCTATAGTAGTTTTAAGACACACTGTATATTATCAAAGTTAATGTCCTCATATATGCCAATCCATGTTTAAATACCTAGATAATATTTTGGATTTCGTGTTTAAAATCCCAAAATCATAGTACTAAGATTCATTGGACGACTCTTAAGCAAACTGTGTAGAAATTGTTTGTATTAAATGCCTTTTAAACAATAAAAAGTTCGAGTGCAAATTGATTTTTATAAAATATTGCTCTAAAGCGTTTTCGAGGCCAATTAAACTCAAATCTGACATTTTTTTTCGTAATTTTCCCTATATTTGTTTTAAGAGACACTGTGTATTATCAAAGTCAAAGTCCCCATATATGCCAATACATATTTTAATACTTACTTCAGATTTGGACTTTTTAACCCCAAAAACGCAGGAATATGGTATATTATACCATTTTTGTTAATCTGCGATAACATTTTGTTTTAAATGCCATTTAAACGTTAAAAGTACGAAGGCAAATAAATGTTTATAAAATATTGCAAAAGAAGCGGTTTTCAAGCCAGAGAACTCAAATCTTAAGTTATTTCTGTCGAAATATTTCCTATAGTAGTTTTAAGACACACTGTATATTATCAAAGTTAATGTCCTCATATATGCCAATCCATGTTTAAATACCTAGATAATGGGTCCTATGATTGAACGTTTACGTTATCCGTAACGTACATGTTAGGCCGAGTTTTAACAGCAAAGAGACAAATTCGTATGATGTAAAGTCTTTTATAACACATTACTGTTATTTTCCGCCTGTTATGTTCTAATTTAACAGGTTTCCATCATACGAACTTGCCTCGTTACTTTTAAAATTCGGCCTAACATGTACGTTACGGATAACGTAAACGTTCAATCATAGGACCCAATGGGTGCTATGATTGAACGTTTACGTTATCCGTAATGTACATGTTAGGGCGAATTTTAAAAGTAACGAGGCAAATTCGGATGATGGAAAACTGTTAAATTAGAAGATAACAGGCGGAAAATAACAGTAACGTGTTGGAAAAAGTTTTCCATCATACGAACTTGCCTCATTACTGTTAAAACTCGGCCTAACATGTACGTTACGGATAACGTAAACGTTCAATCATAGGACCCAATATTTTGGATTTCGTGTTTAAAATCCCAAAATCATAGTACTAAGATTCATTGGACGACTCTTAAGCAAACTGTGTAGAATTTGTTTGTATTAAATGCCTTTTAAACAATAAAAAGTGCGAGTGCAAATGGATTTTTACAAAATATTGCTCTAAAGCGTTTTCGAGGCCAATTAAACTCAAATCTGACATTTTTTTGGGTAATTTTCCCTATATTTGTTTTAAGACACACTGTGTATTATCAAAGTCAAAGTCCCCATATATGCCAATACATATTTTAATACTTACTTCAGAATTGGATTTTTTAACCCCAAAAACGCAGGAATATGATATATTATACCATTTTGGTAATCTCCGATTGACATTCTGTTTTAAATGCTATTTAAACTTCAAAACGTACGAGGGCAAATAAGTGTTTATAAAATATTGCAAAAAAAGCGGTTTTAGAGGCCAGTGAACTTTAATCTTAAAGTTATTTTTGTCGTATTCTTTCCTATAGTAGTTTCAAGATACACTGTATATTATCAAAGTTGATGTCCTCATATATGACAATCTATGTTTAAATACCTAGATAATATTTTAGATTTCGTGTTTAAAATCCCAAAATCATAGTACTAAGATTCATTGGACGACTCTAAAGCAAACTGTGTAGAAATTGTTTGTATTAAATGCCTTTTAAACAATAAAAAATGCGAGTGCAAATGGATTTTTATAAAATATTGCTCTAAAGCGTTTTCGAGGCCAGTTAAACTCAAATCTGACATTTTTTTGCGTAATTTTCCCCATACTTTGTTTTAAGACACACAGTATATTATCAAAGTCAAAGTCCCCATATATGCCAATACATATTTTAATACTTACTTCAGATTTGGATTTTTTAACCCCAAAAAGCATTTTGGTAATCTCCGATAACATTTTGTTTTAAATGCCATTTAAACTTTAAAAGTACGAAGGCAAATAAATGTTTTCGAGGCCAGTGCACTCAAATCCAAAGTTATTTTTGTCGTATTCTTTTCTATAGTAGTTTTAAGACACACTGTATATTATCTAAGTTAATGACCTCATATATGCCAATATATGTTAAAATACCTAGATAATATCATAGATTTCGTGTTTGAAATCCGAAAATCATAGGACTAAGAAACATTCGACGACTCTAAAGCAAACTGTGTAGACAATTTTTGTATTAAATACCTTTTAAACAATAAAAAGTGCGAGTGCAAATGGATTTTTATAAAATATTGCACTAAAGCACTTTCCAGGTCAGTTATCTTTAATCTGACCTCATTTTTTTGCTTAAAATCTCAAAATCATAGGATTAAGAAACATTGGACGGCTCGAGAGCAAACTGTGTAGAATTTTTTGTACTAATGCAATTTAAACTATAAAAAGTACGAGTGAAAATGGATTTTTATAAAATATTGCAATAAAGCACTTTCTAGGTCAGTAAACTCAAATTTGACATTATTTTTTGCTTAATTTTCTCTATAGTCGTATTAAGACTCACTCTATCTTATTAAAGTCATTGCCCCCATATATGGCCTTCCATATTTAAATACCTATATATTACTTTAGATTCGGATTTTTCAACCTCAAAATCGCAGGATTACGATACATTGTACGATTTTAGTAAATTGTGTTTAAAATGCCATTTAAACTACAAAAAGTACTACCGCAAATGAATTTTAATTATGCAAATAAGCGTTTTTGAGGGCGGTGAACTTAAAATCGACATTATGTTTCATAATCGTTTTAAGATACACTATATATTATATTCAAAGTCAATATTTTCATATATGCCAATC